AGAAGAAGAAGAAGAAGAAGAAGAAGAAGAAGAAGAAGAAGAAGAAGTAATCTGAATGTTTTTTGTGTATAATAATAAGAATTGAAAGACAATCGCTTAGACTGACTACAAACAATGTCAGAACATTGTCCACTGGAATGTGGGTCACAACTACCATCTGCCTATAGCAAAGAACTGGTTGGATCATAAGCCTGAAGAAGTGGTCAAAAATGAGCATGCAAAACTACTTTGGGACTTCTGAATACAGACTGATAAAGCTTTGGAACACAACATCCCGGATATCACAATTGTGGAGAAGAAAGAAGTGTGGATCGTTGACATTGCCATACCTGGTGACAGCAGAATCAACAAGAAACAACTTGAAAAAAATCACCAGATATCAGGTCTTGAGAATTGAACTGCAGAGACTCTGGCATAAACCAGTGCAGGTGGTTCCAGATGTACTGGGCACACTGGGTGCTGTGCCTAAAGACCTATGCAAGCACTTAAAAACAATTGGCGCTGACAAAATCACCATTGGTCATCTGTAGAAGGCCACCTTACTGGGATCTGTTCGCATAATCCACCGATACATCACACAGTCCTAAATGCTTGGGAAGTGTTCGACTAGTGATTTGTGATATGAAAACCAGCATAGTTATCTCGTTTGCTATGTACACTGTTGTTTTTTGTGAAGAAGAAGGAGGAGGGGAAAGAAGAGGAGGTCAGGACATACAAAAATTTGATCTACAATTCTACAACCTATCATGCAGTCACCTAAACATGAAATAGAATGATGGTTATTATATTAAGGAAAACTTAGTCCTTATTAAGGTGGTAATGGATATTAATGCAACAGCTGAATATATTAGTAAGCAAATGTTATTTGTGAAGATACTAGATTTCAGGGTTCAAATCTATAGATTATCTTTCTAAAAGCTATCTGTGCTCTTGGTTTTCTCTGGAACAATCACCTGATGTGGACTGCATGATCTTGTTTCCTGATACTTAATCAAAAATGAAAATTGACTATAAAAATTGTATCATTGTTCTCTAATCCAATTGCATTTTTTATGAATGGCCAGAGAAGAAACACAAACAGGTTTATTAACTCTGTGCCAGATGATATACCATTTAGTACAGGAATTTTGAGATTATGAACATGGTTCTGTGAAATAGCAAAAGGGATGAAGGGCCTCAGGAAAACCCTGACCCCAGGTATTTAAAGAATAATGTTCTGAATATGAATTTCAAAAGCATCGATGCAAATTTTACAGTAATTTTGAACAAGTTGAAAAGAAAAACCTTATGAATTAGAAGCACAAAAGAAAAAGGGTAAAAATGATGGACCTAATACAACTAGTGCATTTTTCCAACATAGTTTCAAAATGATTGTTGGCACTCTAGATATGCATTGGGGTTTTTTTTTTATTTGGTTCTAATAACTCCCATTGTGATTCTTATACTTTTTTGCCATAAGAATTCATTTTTGTCCCTAGTGGAAGCTGCTATAATATTGTGCATCCTAATGGCAATGCTCAATATGTTGCTAGTTGTCTGTTTATGAACTATCTCTCTGTTCTGGAACCAGTGCCTATGAAGTATAGCAATAGCAATAGCCAGAGGTGGCCTTCACATAATTTAACAACCAGTTCACCTAGTGCAAAACCGAAAATGTGAGCATGTGCGGCTTCAAACACACAGTGATTTTATGCGTGTGGCTTCCAGCACACCTTCTCAGACAGCCACAATGAGTAGAGCGGGCAAGGCATGAAAATCAGCTGGGCTGTGTGGGCGAGAGAGACAGAGAGTGAGATATATAGGACAGGATAGCACCAGAGCGGGTGGGTGGGTCCAGCTGGTGGTCGGAACTACCGATATGGGCAAACCAGTCCGAACTGGCAGCAGCCCACTTCTGGCAATAGGACTTAGACTTATATATCACTTCACAGTGCTTTACAGCCCTCTCTAAGCGGTTTACAGAGCCAGATATTGGCCCCAACAATCTGGGTGCTTAGTATAACTTTGTGCATTATTAATATTAGATGTCCAGCACAGAGTATCATAATAAGAGTGGCAAACATCTATTAGATAAACTCCAAAGATTAATTTTCAGTTCTCAGTTTTCAGCGTGTCAATTTCAAATACAGGTAGTCCTTGATTTACAACAGTTTGTTTAGTGACCGTTTGAAGTTACGATGACACTGAAAAAAGTGAACATTATGCTGGTTGCAGGGCTTGTGTGCAATCATTCTAAATATTTTATATCAAAGTGATAATGATATTACTATGATATTGGTCCATCTGAGAATTTATGAAGTTACAACAGCACTGAAAAAAAGTAGCATACCTGGTTTTCACATTTGCAACCATTGTAGCATCCCTATGGTTGGTCACGTGATTAAAATTCAGATGCTTGGCAACTGGCATGTACTTATGATGGTTGCAGTATCCCAGGGTCATGTGATCACCTTTTGCGACCGTCTGACAAGCAAAGTCAATGGCGAAGCCAGGTTCACTTAACAACCGTATCACTAATTTAACAAAACTGCAATGATTCATTTAACAACTGTGGCAAGAAAGATAGCAAAATGGAGCAAAATTCACTTAACAGATGTCTCACTTAACAACAGAAAGTTTGGGCTCAATTGTGGTCCTAAGTCAAGGACTATGTAAAATTATCTTATTGAGTTAAACTGGAATTATTTTCAGTTCAAGATATGTGTGTGTGTGTGTGTGTGTGTGTGTGTATGTGTGTGTGTGTGTATAATATATATATATGTAGGTCTAGGTGTGTTTGGGTCTTTTCCCATGTAAGATTAAGAATATCTTGGTGACGTTTCAGTGAGGTCCCACTCGCCATCCTCAGGCTGGTGCTTTCGGCTTCGTGCCAGTTCATATATATGTTTTCTTAAGTTTTCGCGGGTATTTATATAGCTGAATGCCATACACATAAATACCCATGAAAACTTCACACACACACACACACACACACACACACACACACACACATATATATGTATGTGTATGTATGTATGTGTATATGTGTGTTTTCGTGGGTACTTACATGTATGGTATTCAGCTTTGTTTTCCCACGTCATTGTAGTTGTGCTTTTAAAGTTGTAGCAATGTTTCGGCAGAATCTCATCTGCCATCATCAGGCTTCTGTATTGTGTTCGTCTGTGAGTCAGACTTTCACAGCCATTTCTGTTTTAAATTTGGTGCTAGCCTACTGTTGTGCCAGAATGGTTTTTTCTTCATCCTGATTGGTTGGGAGTCTTGGTCTGTGTTTATTGGTCTTGGAGTTTGCTGTGTTCTGCTTGATTGGTGTTTCTAATATCTTCTGTCTCCCATTTAAAAAAATTTCAGTCATACTGTCTCCCTATTTATAAAATATAGTATGTACGCATGTGAGCACCTGCATAAATGCCTGCAGTTTCCAAGGGAATTCACAAAACTTCAGTTTAATTACTTAAGATCCTGACATATTTCTTTGGAAATAAAGTTGAAGATTTGCGATTAAATTGGTCACAGAAGAACAGCTCCTTAAGTTTGGTTTTTCTGAAGCTTGTAAAAGCAATATGATTTAAAAAGAAATATTAAATATTATGATGTATGAAAAGATAGGCATTTGCACCTGTGTGAGTAAAGTAGTATAGGAACTATAAATCTTTGTCATGGCAGATTTTCTTATGTTGGTTCAACGGTACGAATAATTTCTTAAGATGGTAATTCAGTTAAGTTCATGTTCTATTGTGGGAAAATATGATAGAATTTTGGAGATGACTCAGTTTTCCACAAATGTTTCCTGTAAAAAAAAATGTTGTCCTAAATTGTTTCCCTGTGTATATATGCTGACACCCATGAAGAATGGTCTTTTTGGGGAGTGGGGAGGAAGGCAATTCTGCACACATGCCAGAGATAATTGAAGATTTACTAGATGTATCTAGCTTCTGGATATTTAAATATATAGATAAAAGTATGAAGAATGCCCATTGGATGACTTAAGAAGCAGATGCAACAAACTATTATTCTGGTTTTGCTACATGCACATTAAGACAAATACACACACACACAGTTTTGTATAATGTTGGTGGTGTGTGTGTGTGTGTGTGTGTGTGTGTGTGATTCCTTTTACATTCCTGTTCAAGCTTTTGCCTGCTTTCTGATGCAGCTTGTTTCCCAACATCTGGACTCCACTGAGCAACCCAGAAATGGCTGCATTTCATTGGTGAGATGATTCTGGTATGTAGGCTGTGGCTCTTGAAGAATCAATTGAATGTAACTTGTCAGGAATGTTCTGAACTGTTGGAGAGGGGGAAAAATGGTTTTATTAAATTGCTAAGTCTTTTCTGCAGAATTCCATTGAAATGAATTTTTTGTTCTCTAAGTCAGCGGTCGCCAACAGGTGGGCCGCAGCCCACTGGTAGGCCATGAGTAAATTTTGGTGGGCTGTAGAGAAATCTCACCCCCAGAGCATCCCTCCCAAATCAATTAAACCAGGCTGCGCAGAAACACAAGGCTGCGCCACCCACATGGCCCATGGGATCCGGAACTCCCTGCCCTCTCACTTCTTAACCCAGCAAACGTGCCTGCTAAATTGCTATTTTTCCTTTTTCCAACCATCATCTGTTCTGCTGTGCCAGGAGATTTAGATTAGCTAGGAAACAGGAAATGGTTGGATTTCTTGCTTTCTAGCTAGACTTTAGATTTTCGGCTCTGCTTTTAAGCACAGCTGAACCTCCCTTAGGACTGAAGTTTCTATGATTCAGTGCAGACTCACAGCAAGCAGATTTTATGTGACAGACTGAGCTAGCCGATGGCAGATAGATAGATCTCTGAATGATTCTGTGAGCAACTCAATTTTACATGCCTGCTTTGCCTGATTTTGGGAAAAAGTTGCTCTTTTTTTAATAAAAAAATTCAATAGTCACAATAGTTACACACATACATGGTGTGTTGTGAGTTAATTTTGTGAATTTGCTTGCAAGCAAATTTTATGTGACAGACTGAGCTAGCCGATGGCAAATAGATAGATCTCTGAATGAATCTGTGATTCTGTGAGCAACTCAATCTGCCTGCCTGCTTTGCCTGATTTTGGGTAAAAGTTGCTCTTTTTTTATAAAAACATTCAATATTTATATAAATATTTATAATATTTATATACAAGCCATGCCCAGCCAGTCACATGACCACCAAGCCACACCCACAAATTAGGCCACACCCACAGAACCAGTTAGTGGTCCCTGGGATTTAAAATTATAAGTTTGGTGGTCCCTGAGGTCCAAAAGGTTGGTGACCCTTGCTCTAAGTTATAACAATGACTTTCCTGCATTCTGCACAATTAAATTATTGGAAAGAAGATATCAGAACCTAGGTAAAAAGAGAATTCAGACAAACATCTGTAGTCTTTGTAAGTAAAAGTAAGTTCCTCTATACAGTAGAACCTCAGGTGATGACCATAATCCATTCCGAGAATTCGGTCATCACCCGATTATGACATCCCCAGAAGTGCATGCATGGGGAAAAAAGGGCGCGGTGTGGAAGGGGAAATCGGTGTGGAACAGTAAATCTATGCACCTGTGCTTGGTCATCACCCGAGCACCCATTCGCGACCACAGGTAAAAACCTTTTGTCGCTACCCAAATTGGTTGCAAATGGAAGAGTTCGCAACCAGAGGTTCCACCTGTATTCTGTTAACATAAGTAAGACAAGTTTATGAAGTAGATATTTCTAATGCAGTGTCATAGTTGCCTAATGTCCTCTCTATCCTTGAGCGGTTCCAATGAAAAGGATTTGGACATTTTCTGGAGGACCAGAAAAACATCCATCGCTGGGACAAAAATTCAAATCTACCAAAAATGTATTTGTGTGTACAGTTATGAATATGAAAAATATGCAAAGGTAGAGTTTGTGTTGTGATGTCACAATGCACATGGCTACCTATGACTACCTATGACCCCACTAGTGTGCAAAACTCTGCTGAGAATAATCACTGAAATCTATTCTAGTAATAAAAATTCAGCATCGTACATTGAATCAATAGTGGGGTGTCTTGTCCAGCTTGTGAAAATAGTTTAATCCCATAGTGAAAAACCTCTTTCTCCCCCCATGATTTGCTCCAAAATATGAAGAAGATATAATAGGAACTTTAGCAATCAACCTCCAGAATAGGCTTTGTGGTGGAAACAGTTTCATGCATTTCAAAATGATCTTTTTTTTTCTGGGATGCAGACTCTGGTCAATTCTCAAACAACTGCACTTTACATAAGATATTATATGAGGTCTGTGTTGTGTTACAGACTGAACAATACACTGTTTCTTAGTCCCCACTTGGAGTGATCACTGAGGATCAGAGTGTTTCATAGCAAACAGTTACTTCATATCAGAGAGATTTTTTTTTACAGCACCTGATGATCTTAGTTTCTACTTTCTTCAGTGTATCAAATAATTAATTTCCAAACAGGAAAAGTCATGAGACGTTCATTTGAAAACAGAAAGAACAACTACTTCTTTAGTGAAAACTTGATGCTAAGGGTCGAGTGTTCCAAGAAAATAAACTAAATAACACATAGTGTAACAATTAGCAAGCTTTGATACCACCTACCAATTTCTAAGTTCTGAGCTTTCATTTTCAATTTATTTCTATGCCAGTATATACATAGCCTTACCCAATTCAGAGCACAGCTGGGAGAAGCTGAGGAAGATGTTATATTCTCTGTGTTTATATCTTTTTCTGTATTATGTGTAAAAGTCTGCATTCGTGTTCGTTATGAGTTTTTCTGGGAATTAACTTCAAAAAGTTCTAACAAAGTTTGCACAAAAAACCAATGAAAAACACCTGCTTCAAAGCACTTTGCCCCCCCAAAATTTGGAAGGCCGCTGAGATTCTGGATTAAGCTGTTAACAGGGAACCTCCCAACATACTGTAGCTATGTGTCTAGCTAGGGATCTGCCATTAGCTGCCCATTATTAAAGGCAGCTACCAACACACAAGTACACAACAGCAACCCTTTTCTTAAACAGCTGTTATTTGGTATTTAGTAGTAATGGTTAATGAATTTTTCTTTTCTAATGATCTCCTGACATCTAGATTATAATATACATGCTCGAAAGCAAAACATTTGACTGATTGCAAACATTTTGAAGAATATAGGTGAAGAGCATATGGACTTGGACCAGGAGAATGAAAAATGAAAATGAAAATCCATCATCTTAGACATCCTTTGAGCATTGCTATCTGATATCTAGGCCAAGAATTTAGAAGTTATTTGTTCTCCAAAAGGACTGACTAACATCCAATATTGCCTTAAAAGGATATGAGAGTGCCATTTTTAATTCCACAGAATGCTGTTGTTTGAAAACTATGGGATCTCTGATTTGCCTAACCCTTAAGAGCTGCTGGGAAATTTCAACATCTTCAAGCAAGCTGTTGAAACTAGCTCAAAGTCCAACTTTGAAACTAATGGTTGAGAATGCTTGTTTCTCTCTCTCTCTCTCTAATGGAAAGGGAAGATATGGTGTATTCCCAAAAATCCCGTCTGCCCTTACTTTGCTCTTCTAAAGCTGGATGGAATAAAGCAAGACTAAAGCAGCTCGAAGAAAAGTGAGATCATATTTAATTAAAGGCACAGGGGGAAAATTTATTCCATTCACATTTTGATGCAAACATATTTGATTCAAACTCTGTGAACCCATATGCAAGCTGGAACACATCAATAGGCTAATGCGTACAGTTTTGTAACACTGCCCATAGGGTTATGCAACTACATCTACATATATTGTACATATGTATAGTTGATCCACTCTTATTAGTAGCAGCTTGTATAAAAATTACAGAAATAAGTATATAAAATTATTTTAGGAGGGATATGCATCGAAATGTACATATTTCCACACTAATCTTTTAAATAAACAGAACTTAAAACTGGAAAAATGAAACACTGAACACAATTTCCAATTTCTAAATGAAGAGGGAAAAATGTGGGGAAATTACAAAAAATATTTTTAGGACTCCAAAGTTTAAATCAGAAGATGTGTGGTTTTCAGCTACACCTCAATAGCTTATGTGTATTTGCTTCCTTGGTACTGATCTCTAGTTGGATTAGGCAAATTATCTCTGTGGTTATAACAGCAGTACTGGATAACAGCATTGGAATAAAATTTAAAAAAAAAACCTCAAATAAATTTAGTCTTTAGAGTGGCTTGTTAAAGAGTGTGAGTGTCTTCTTTCAGCAAAGAGGTATTAAAAAGAGATTTTGTATAGCCTTTTGGATTCAGATCTATAACTTGTCTGTTCTCATATGGGCCTTTTGTTAATATAAGCAAAAGCCAAGAAATGCTTGAACTATTTGAATTAATGAGATCATCTTAACTATGTTCATAGAGCTCTTCAGAGTAATTAGGCTTTAAATTCTATTGAAGATTGGTGCACTATTATTACATCTCTACTCTTATGCATAATCTTGTGACTTGCTTTCTACTGACAGCTTTGTACAATCCCGATGAAGTTTGGAGGTTATGAAGATAACATACACTTCCATCAAAGCATATAAAATATATGGACTGGTTACAGACTGAGATATGATTCTTGTCTTGTCTTATAAAAATATACGATATACAATCCTTCTCTGCAGTCTATACATGTACAATCTAGTGAAACCCTACTTTGGAAAAGAGGCTATGTGGTAGACCAGGAGTGTAATCCAACTGGTGTGGTCCTGTTCATGAAAACTAGTCGTTAAATGGTTGCACACATTACAACTAAGCCAAATTTCACATTTTTTCTGCTTATCCAGACAGAGCAGGAAGGAAAGTCTGGAGATAAATCAATCTTTCCATCCGGAGCTCTAACAAAAATCAAACTCTAGGCTTCTGGGGGGGAAAATGAATTTATATCTTAGTTATGATTGTACTGAAAATATTGGGACCCTAATAATTAGTGAAGAATTTAACTTCTATTGATTCTTTTTTAAAATACGATTTGATGTACCTAACTGTGATTTGGGGTTGAAAGTTCTCATGAATGTATATATGTACATATGCCAATTCAGTTCAATAGGGCTATAGGCACAAAATTGGATTACATCAATCCAGTTCTAAACAGAAGTATGGCCATTTTTTTTAGGATTGCAGTTTAACTGGAAATTTTTTAAAAGAGAAGGAAAAAATTCAGAAAGAAAATTCCCTTTAATCACTTATATTTTCACTATCCGCATTCAAAAATATTAAGCTATTTCTCCTGATGTCTTCAGTTCTTTAAGTAAAAAAGCAACCCCCAAAAAAATTCTTCCACTTTTTATTAT